TATAGCACCCTGGCCGCGACCGCGACTATAACTACGACTACGAGTCCCCCGAGCAGTACCTATCCCCCGAGCAGTGCCTATCCCCCGAGTAGCAGTACCTATCCCCCGAGGATACCCCCGTAAACGACCCCGCGGTACACTACGAACCTAACCCCGGCTCGATTCCTATAACGACGGATCTCGGTAGACGGAGGAGGTCTCTTAGGTTTGTGTTTATATTAATAGATCGGGGGAAGACTAGATAACTTACTAGGTAGCCTAGGTTACCTCGGTGGCCTAGGTAGCCTAGGTACTCGCAAAGTTACGCGTACCTCTGGGTTATCCTCGACAACGTATACGAAGAGGATCCTATACTAAAAGGGTAGGGTCAATAGGAGGAGTATCGTTAATACTATATAGGTACTAGTGCTGATAGTAAAGATCTAGCTCGAGCTGCTTCTTCTTATTGTTGTACACCTTAATAATATAAATATATAGGTATCTAGAGGTGTTCTTCGAATTGCAGTTACAGATAGGGTAGATTGGTCGCTTCCCCTCTGCCCCTTCTAGTAGATATCTCTCGTAAACCTCCTTCGTAAGTTAAATCGCTTATACTGAGATCCTCTTTATAAGGAGCGAATAGAGTAGTAGTACTCTTTTAGTTAGATTCCGAATTTTCTAATCCTAAATTCCTTACTTAAGCTTAGCGAATTAGAGGGTCACCGCGTTATTAAAACTCTGAAGTATAACTAGTAAATTATTGTTCGATACTTAAAGACCTAGCTTAAGCAGCTAATAAGTACCCTCAGTATAGGAAGTCGCGATCTCGTTAAGATAAAGGTACTGAGAGGTATAAATATAGAGAAAGCGCTCTAGGTAGCTATCGAGCTATTCTCTTTAGATATACTCGATTAAGGGCTAGAAGAGGGGATTACGATACTAGTGCTTAAAGAAATCCCACTGGCGCTGGTATTCTTCGGGGGTAACAGCGTAAATAACACGGCCCCAGCGTTTTAATATCTTATTCTACCCCTCTTTAACCTTTTTACGATCCTCCTTCGCTTACTGGGCTTTACTTTAGCGCTAGGAAGGCTCGGTAGACTAGGACTCGGTAGACTAGGACTCAGTAGACTAGGGCTAGGTACGATTCCGGTGGGCTTATATAACCTAATCAGTAAGAAGTAGGCGAGTAACTTTTATAATTCTTATATTAATATACCAGATACAGAGTATATACTTTGTCTTAGGGAATACACTCTCAATAGTATTGATAAGCGCTTACTCCTTATCAGTGAGAATCGTATAGGGGTAGGGAGGTTCGAGACTAAAGGCTTCGTATACTTCGCTAAGACAACTTAGTATAACTTTATATATATTGTCTTTTTTATCCCGTATAAAGGCAAACCTAAGATAGAAGGTCGATCTTATAGCGGTAAATCCCACAATATTAAGTAATAGAAGCCCGTATTAATTTGTTTTATATATATAATCTATAGAGATAACCTATAGATTAAGCTTTAGTATCGTAACGCTGGTCTTATATATACAAAAGAGAGTAGAAATATAGTCCTAATTATTAAGTTTATACTTAAATATCTAATCTCTATCCTTCGGGAGTTCTTATAGGAGGGCCTAAAGGGGTGTTCTACCTGTAAGAAATATATTATATAGCTTTCTCCGGGTGTTATAAATATCCCGCGGGATAATAGTAGTCTGCGAATTAGCCCTATAGAGCTTAGTAATAATCTAGCGGGTTATACAGCCTTATCGAAGCGTATTTTCGATCTTATCTTTCTTATAGGTCAGCTTAAGAGACCGTTAAATAGGATAGGTAGACAGCGGTAAGGATTTATAGTCATAGGTAGGATTCTTAACAGTTAGGCGCTAATAAGTTGTTTAGAGATTGAGGCGAAGTGTTATAGTAAAGGGATAGTTATTTATAAGTGTAGTTATCTGTCGTTTCTTCTCCGACTCCTATAGGGTGTATAAACGGCTACGGTTACAGCAGATATAGACCGTCTTCTTTACTCCCTTCTTAGTAAGTTTTAAACGCTTAGAGGTAACTGTATACCTATACGAGCGAGCAAAGGTATTAATCGCGATAACCCCTTTATCTAATATAGCGTATATCTAATTAACCGGTAGAAGTAGGAATATAAAGCTTAGTATCGGCTCTGCGGTAGGGGACTCGGTGATTGGTGCAGCGGGAGGAGACTCGACAGCTGTATCGGTGATTGGTGCAGTACCCGGTGGAGACTCGGGAACTATTTCTAGCTCGGAGTCAGACGAGAGTAGGTAATTGAGGCCTAAAGAGGCTATTTTATATAGTGATTTTAATGGAATTGATATTGAATTGATAGAATTGATATTGAATTGATAGAATTAATAGTGTTAATAATAAAGAGATTGATAATGCTTAATAGGTGTAAACCAGAATTAGAGTATCAATTTGTTTGATCTAGTCTATATAACAAAAGTGACTTAATTTTGTATAGGGTTTGTATACAAATTGTAGGTACCTACTGTCTACTATTATTGTATAGAGCGTTTACTAGGAAGGCGGTATATAAAATTGGAAAGCGGTCAGGAAAGCGGTCAGTAAAGCCTGAATTTTTAGGTAGGGGGTGTCAAAATAGGAAAGGGGGGTGTCGGATTAGCCAAGGGGGGTGTCAATATAACAATCCCCTAAAATTAATACAATTGGGTGGGGTGGCCACTCGCTTATGGTGGCCGCTCGCATGTGAAATACGTTAGTTATATATATAGCTTATATAAGTAGTTGATAGATACTTAGCTTTCCTATTCCTCGCTAGTATTGTAGCCCTTTAAGATAATTATTTATCGATAAGGTACTAGAATATACTACCGCTAGATATTTAAGAACCGTACGGTATCGCTTATATATTATACCTAGCTTTCTATCCTTAGTATTAGCCACTTAATCGAAGCCTTCCTAGTAGGTTATATAATACCTTCTATCCTAATTAATTCGCCTTCTCCTATAGTTAGTTTAAAGCTACTACTCTACAAATTCCTTACTTATATTCGCTTTATACGATAGATATTCGTTAATCCGGTCGGGTTTAATCTACCTAAGGTTTTCTAGTACCGGGAGTACTAGCTATAGAGGAATAGAGGAATTATTAAGTATTATATCAATTTAAGTAAAGGTTAACTTAATAGAAATAGACTTAAGAAAAAAGTATTGTCCGGGATAAGATATAAGAGATCTTCTATTCCTACCCCCTCGGCTATTAAGGAAGGATATCTATCCGAGAGTTAAGATATAATTTATAGGTAGTTTATAGGGAATCTAAAGAATAGGACTTATAGAAAGTAAATAGAAAAAAGCTATTATATAGTAGGAATTAGTTTACCCTAGTCGCGAGAGGATATAAAGTTAATAGATTATTATCTTACCTACTTAGGCTAAAGTTATCTTATCTAATTAGCTAGTATAGAGGGTATATATAGGTAAAGAGGGTCGCTCTAAGGGTTATCCTAAAGGTTAGTAAGGGTTACCCTTATCGACTCTCTAGTTATATTGTCTTTTTTTTATAATAGAAATCGTTAAAGTCTAATAATCGAGTTCTTTAGTCTTCTTTTATATAAGATCTAGAGTAATTAGAGGTAAGCTAAATTAGTAGAAAATTAAATAAGACTCTAATTAGTTAATTACCTAAGATAACTTAATATTTAATATTTATTTATATTAAAAATAAAAAGATACTTTCTTATCGTACAATATATACTACTATTAGTCTACTTTAGAAATAGATTTTAACTACTACACTATAAATATTTTATATTAACGTACTTCACCACCGAGTGGTCCACACCCCCGAGTGGTCCATCGCAGAACACATAGTAAATACAACATGTTCAACATTTATATCTCAACAACCATGTTTGTATTTTGGCTCTTTGTTTGTCGATAGTCATTGATAAGACTGTCACGGATAAACTATGTGCGCTACTATATATATTGGTCCTGGGCATATCAGAGCTTGAGCTCTGATATAATGGTCTTTTTGGCCGAGTTGGAGAATGTGCGCCCAGGCATATCCTTTACAAAGACTTATTAGTATTTTATATCAATTTTAAAGAAAGTGGAAAGTTATGTACCTATCATTTCAAAATTTACCGATAATTACGTCGCAAAAAGCTCAAAATATATATACCTCAATCAACAAGTTATATAGATTCCTAAAACTCCGTAAAGAGACAATATATTACTTCAAAAGCATAAAGCTATAAGTAAATTGCTATATAGACTACTGTTGTTGAGATATGATGTTGTAATTTATCGCATTTACTATGTGTTTTGTGGTGGACCACTCGGGGGTGTGGACCACTCGGTGGTGAAATACATTATCTATTAAAACTAACCTTTAATAAGATTTTTCTACTTAATACTAAGAAACCTAAGGTAACGATATATAAGGTATTAGCTTATAATTTAATTTCTTTATATTTCGAAAGTCTTTATAGTAGAAAATAAGAAAAATTTAGAGGTATACTAGAATAGCTATAAATAATAGTATTTTAAGAAGCTGAATTATCTAATTTATACGTCCGAAATAGGAAAGGCGGGGAGAAATTATATATTTAAGGGTCGATAAGGGTCGATACGGGTAAACCTTAAGGGACCCTTAGAGGGTCAGGGTCAGGGTTAGGGTCGGTAAGGTTAGACCCTGACCCTCTGAGGTGCGGGTGGAGGTTCCTAATCTCGGACCCGCGGGGCGGGTGAGTGCTAGGTCTAGGTGCGCCGCTCGCTTGTGTGCGCCACTCGTATATGAAATACGTTAATACTTTACTGTAAATAATTATATAATCATATATCAAGAGACACTATCCCAAAAGGGTATAGTATTCTGTGCTATTAGTGATTACTCTGTGCCAATAGGGTTTACCATACTGATGCGGTCTCCCAAAACTTTTACGCTGTAGCACTACAAACAGTTCATTCAAAGCAAGAATATCCAGAGTCCATATTGCTCCTTGGTATCATAAAGATGAACCTAAGACATATCACCCATCAGATCTTCATCCATCTCAAGTCCGGCCTCCCCCCTACGATAGGATTAACTTCATTGGAACCTGACCAAACCTGACCCTTGTGTAGACTATCAACGTACTCATCGCTTAATCCCAGGTTATTATTGGTTTCCCCAAGATTAATCACCAGGGCCTCCATTATCCTCATTTCCTGCTTGAGTTGAGACTGTAAATCCGACTCATAAGAGAGTCGAGGTAACGAATGAATGGATGAGAACCGTAGCATAGAAGACTCAGCATGATCTTTGGTCTGCACCAATGTCGCGTTTAAGGCACGAGATATGATGAGAGATGAAACAGCGGATCTAGTGACATCTGCACACACAGGGGAAGGAAAGACCTGCTTTGAAAGGTCGGCCACCGTTAAAGCTGCAAAAGTCTTCCCAAGCTTGATAACAGTTTGACTGAAGAAAGCACCCACTACTTGGGACACGAGACCGAAATTATTGTCCTGAAGCGGTGGCATTAGCTCTGAATTCCAAAACAATAAAACCTAGTGTCAATTAGAGCCACCACCTACCGCGCACCACACTCCTTTGCCAGCATCGATTTCAGCATCAAGTCTTTTTAGATCACCATGTTCGAATGCATGAGCAAGTATTATATAGGGTCTCGCGAGTGACTGGTACACTTTCACCACATGAGGTGTTGTGATGCTTGGAGGCGAACAGAGCTACCCATGGAAACAGTTAGCCCAAGAAAATAATAGGGCTAATGCCATCGAGTTTCTTTTCTTTTGTTTTCTTTCAGCGAAGAGATAACTCACCTTTCCCTTTTCGAGTAAGCCTACCAGCACCCATTTTTTGTAGGCCTCGACCATAATCAAGCTCACAGGGTTAGTACTAGGCGCAGAGATGACAATCCCAAGGAAATGGAGTGCATTCCGCCACTCCTTCAATGCCATGTACACCATACCACCGTAAAGAAAGTACTGTAAGTAGTCTCGGTATGAGAGCTTGGATGAGACCCCGGAAGCTTCAGTCATAAAGGATACACTTGACGCATGATCTGCGCAAAGCGCAGAGGGTCCCGAAAAGGCACGTCCCTGCGAAATTGGGAAATGAAAAATCTGCTTATCCAAGACAGGCAATGCACAAGAATATGCTTTGGCCTGGAGACACAGCCGGACAAGCAAAAGGTGACTTGAAGTGAAAACAGCACATGATGGGTCGAGACGAAGCATAGCGTCCCTGACCAGCTTAGCACCTAGTAGTGGCTGTAGCAGGGTTAGGTTAGCAATGGAACCCGAGTAACTTTGGAAAAATAGCCGACTTGCCATTGATGCAGCTTGCGAGGCTTGTCCCACGAGCTCAACAAGGAGGCGCCATTCTCGTCCTGCGTACCTGACCTGGACCCCATCGAAATTCGTCAAAAAATGTGCAGCGCATGTCCATAGCTTTCCTGAGGGGCGGAGGTCCGCTGGGAGCACATTGGTATTGATTTCCTGCGCCTTTTGTATCTGCACACGTAGCACGAAAAGATATGGGATCGAATCTATCACTGGGTCAAAATTCTAAAGACGAATGTGTATTAGCGGTGAACCCATAGAAGTTCCATAGATGAGAGGCTCGATATAAATAAAGCTGCTTACACTGAGAAAAGTCCCATCACTGGCAAATGAGTCGAGTGCCTTGGTAGATTGTAATCGCCTGAAGTATTCAACTAGCTCGCGAATCCGACGGTCATACTCGTCACTGGGTAGGTGGTTAGAGTTGTGTAAATGCGCCGATGCGGAGATAATATCCGAGAGGAGTGTCATCCTGGCAAGGCGTGAAAGAAGAGCACAAGATAATTTGGTTTCAAATGCGCAAAGAGGTCTTGTTTCAAACTGGTGTGATATCTCTTCGCTTTTGTGATATCAGAATTGCGATACGATGGGAACTCGACGTTGGATGAGGAAGGAAGAAAAAAAGGTATCTGATGAAATGTTCGTAAAAGAAACCTACGTTGTAGGTATGTGTATGTTAAAGAAATGTGACGTAGGGAGTTGTGATGATTATCAGACACCTCGGGAGGGTGGGTAAATCCGAGAGGAGCGGGATCGATAACGTGCCCCTCCACACTTTTGACTCATTTTTTCTCCTTTCCTTTCTTCTAAGTCTACTACTGTTTTCACTTCTGTTTGACGCTTATTGTTCAATTCCATATAGGGCCGAGATTATTTGAGACAGATCATGTCATTGACTGAATCCGCGGCAGCTGATGCCGCCCATAGCGCATCACTTGCCTCTCGTCGTCTTGCAACTTTAACAAATGATGAGCGCAATAGAGCTTTGACATTGCTCCATGATGCATTGGAAATGAACCGAAAATATATCCTTGAAGCCAATGCTAGGGATGTAGAAATTGCCACTATCGCGGCTGAGAGCGGGAATTTGAGCCATAGCGTGCTCAAGAGACTCGACCTGTCGCGGCCCGGAAAATACAAAGACATGCTTGATGGGATCTTGAGTGTGCGGGATTTGGATGACCCTAGTGAGTGCACTTTCTAAACTGTGAGGTCCAGTAATTGAGACAGAAATTAACATAATACAATCATAGTTGGGAAAGTGACACTACGAACCCTCCTCGACGATGGTCTAATGCTTGAGAGAGTCAGCTGCCCTATCGGTGTGCTACTGATTATCTTTGAGGCCCGCCCAGAGGTGATAGCAAACATCGCTGCGTTGGCTATCAAATCAGGCAACGCTGCTATTCTGAAAGGTACACACGCACGCCCTTATGAAGATTCCATGATATTGTTCAATTGACGCAAATATCTATCTAGGTGGGAAGGAATCCATGGAGTCCTTTGCGGCAATTGCGAACGTTGTATCTAAAGCTATCGCTGAATCTCGGGTGCCAGTATCATCGATCCAGCTGGTCAAGACACGCGATGTGGTGTCTTCTCTCTTGGCTCAGGATTCGTTGATTGACCTGGTCATTCCCCGAGGTTCCAACGAACTTGTCCGCTTTGTGAAAGATAACACCAAAATCCCCGTGCTTGGCCATGCCGATGGCCTTTGTTCTGCTTATATACACGCTGATGCCGATATCGATACTGCTGTGAAAGTGATTGTGGATTCGAAAACAAACTATCCAGCGGCATGCAACTCATTGGAGACGTTGCTTGTCCACGAGGATACCCTTGAATCGGTGTTCCCGGTGGTTGCTGCTGCTCTCCTGGAGAAAGGCGTGACTCTTCGTTGTGATCCTGACTCGAAATCTGCTTTGACAAAGACATTGCCAGCCGAGAAGTCAGCACAATTACAAACGGCCACTGAATCTGACTACAACACTGAGTTTTTGGACCTTGTTTTGGCAGTGAAAACCATCCCCTCAACTGACCCTCCGACCATGGCCGTGGAGGCTGCCATTACCCATATAAACGTGCATTCGTCCAAGCATACAGAGATCATTTTGACTCGGTCAAAAGAGGCGGCAGATATGTTCATGAGCGGAATTGATAGTGCGGGTGTTTTCTGGAATGCATCAACTAGGTTTGCCGATGGCATGAGGTTTGGATTTGGTACAGAGGTTGGCATCAGCACCAACAAGATCCATTCCCGAGGACCGGTTGGACTTGAGGGTCTGACGATCTACAAGTACTTGATCCGGGGAAATGGACACGGGGCAGCAGACTATGGGGAAGGAGGGAAGAAATTCCTCCATACTAATATGCCCGTAGGCCAGTAGTTGGCTCACCAGCGCAACACATTAGAAGAATATCATTTTAGAAAATATTTTTTTTCTTGCTTTCTTGTTTGAAAAATCCCATAAGAAAAAACTTAGGACAAAGCCTGATTCAATTTTCTTTTGCCCCTTCATTCGTAAATTCTCATTTCCCAGTCCAACCAAAGACATCCCGCCACTTTTAAGTACACAGACTTGAGGTCTCTGACTAGAATTGGAACGATTCCAGGCACCGAGAAAGTCAATGTGGTCAATGTATCTTTCACAATACATACATACCGCATCATCCTCATCAAGTCCCTTAAACCTTGAAACCCTTGGATCTTCTGCGACCACGAGCCCGCTCGAACTTGCGGCCCTTGCTGCCCACGTATGGCTTCTGTTTTGAATCAGTAAATTTGTATGGCATCTCATTTTCCAATCGCAATAACGCACCTTGTCAGTGTGAGGACCGAAGCCAAAGTGCTTCACGGCCTCACGAGCGTTCTTGGGTCCACGCAGGAGGAGAGTGTTGGCACCGGTAGGAGCGCGGAGTGCAAGCTGGTCCAGAGTCAAAGTCTCACCACCGGCCTTCTCAATGCGAGCGCGAGCGGTAGCGGTGAAACGGAGAGCAGCGATCGACAACTTGGGGACGGTCAAGAGGCGGTTGTCATCGGTGACAGTGCCCACAACGACGACAGTCTTGCCCTTCTGCGCTTCGCTGATGTTGGCAACAGCGCGAGAAAGGGAAACCGGGGGGCGGTTGATTCTCGACATGAAGAGACGACGAAGGACGGCCTTGTTGAAGTTGGACTCGGTGCGGCCTATCATAAATCCCATATCAGCCTCACTGCATCCTCAAAACGGTACACCTATAGAAATTGCGCTGCAAACGAAAGTCGGAATCGGGGGGGTCATACGAGCCAAGAAGCGGTAGAGCTTCACCAGAACCTTCAAGTAGACGTTGTCGCTCTTGGGAGCCTTGCGGTGGCTGCTCCGCACATGGTGGCGGTCCAGGTCGATACCTGCGATTTATGAATTGTTAGTTGAATGGACTGAGAACGAGAAAAAAATAGACACAGATTCGAGTGAATGCTGCGAGATGCGATAGTCGAGTGAACGGAGATGATTGAACATACCCATGGCTGTGTATTTGTCGACTTCCCGGGAAATAGCTTGCTGTCGCACCCGTATAGAAAGTGCAGGAGGTTTTTGATCCTTGACTTTCGGCTGGACAGTGGTGTGTGGGTTTAGCCCTACGCTAGACTTGACTAGGAAAGGCGAGACACATGACCTGGTTATACCCACGTGATCATCTTTGAGTTGCCACCTGATCACGTGCCAATATGGATCTCGCAGAGAATTTACTCCGTACTTTGTACTCCGTATAGTGAACCGTAATGTTCAACTTAGCCCAGGTGGGAAATTTCTATTTATGGGAGTTATCCCATACATTGATGATTTACATCATATACACAGATCATTTATATGCATTGTATATAATGAATATGTTCATAATAATGAGAAGAAATCTAGGTATGTACATAGTATTTGAACTATTCGCTATCATTCAAGCCAACAAAGAAATCACGAGTCATTTCAAAGCTCAACCAGCTGCTGGCCATACTAGGAGCAACTTTCAAAAGATTCGGCCCTATCCCCTTGAATAGTCCACGCAGTCCCTCTTCAGCCACAATGACCTTCACAGCATCCCAGATCGAGGTGTATTGGTAACCCATTCCCGACATTGTGTTGATCTGGAATCGCCGACGTAGCACATCACTAAGGAAAAGTCAGTTTCATAGGGCTTATCGAATAGAATAAAAGAACTGACAAAGGATAAGTACAAGTCTGGGCGACTGCTCCAGATATCGCGCCAGCCAACAATTTTCGATAAGAGCTAGGGTTTTTGTCCCCTTCCGGTGTCAGATACTTGCGCACCGATTCGTAGGTCATAAAATTGAGTCCCACCTGTTGCCTGTCAGTTATGACTAAGTCAAATGAAAAGAACAACTCACATATGGGGCTACTCCAGCAACAGTGGGGGCAATTCCACGATATAGAGCCCTTGTTCCGCCTTCATTTTTATAGATGATGGCCATTGTGGTGAACATGCCTGGCAGTTTTTGGCCTGGATCTCTTGTTCCAAGATCGGCAAATGAAGCGGATTGAATGGAAAGCCGGGTTCGAACGATGTCCAGAGGATAGGTGATAGTCACCGAGGTGATGCCAGCAACACCTCCACAAACAAGGCGACGCATTGGGGTCATCTCGCCATCGGGAGACTCTACAAACTAGATCAAAAGAAATGTCAGTTTGCATCCGAGCCCTAATTTTGCAGGATAGGAACAGCCACCCACTTGCTTGTAAAAATTATAGCTCCCAAACTGTACTGCAGAGTAAGGGATAATGCGAATACAGTTTGTTCCATTTCCTCGCATGAAGCCCCGCCAGCCTTCTTCCCGCCCCATCTTCACCAAGCCTTTCCAAATTGACAATTTGTATTCTGTTCGACCGACACTTTGAACTTGGAGAAGAATTTTCAATCGTTCAAGTGGTGACACTATTGTCCTAGAAACTGCACCAGCCACTCCACCAGCCATGAATGCAGCCACCACCGGTTCGGCGAGGTTATTCCTGGTACGAATCCAAATTGAAGGGGTTTGCTCATTAATCAGCTCCTGCTTTGATCAACAAGTCAGCCTCCGAGCTCAGACAAACGGGAGTGTCGATTCTCACCTTCCCTGGATTTGAACCAGAAGGAAACTTGGACAAATTCTGCAAGGTAGGCTTCGCTGTACCCTCCAACTCCTCCTTTTGAACAGTATCCTGACGATTTAAGCTCATCTTGACGATATACACATCCGGTTCTGCAGAGGTTTATATAAAAAAAAAGTCCTCTGTGAACTGCGGTGTAATGATTCCCGCAATTATCTTGATCGAAAATGAAGCTTGATTGTTGTTGCAAATCAAATGCGATAAAGCACTATTGGTGTAGTGCTAGCCATGAAGGTTGGTGGTCTTCCGAGACTTGGGGGATTTAAAGGCACATCATTGACCCTGTGTCCAGTGGTGTATTTCTTGTTTCAATGGACATATAACTGAGGCAATAAATGGTAACGTTGATAGTAGATTTTCCGAAAAGGAGAAGTAAAGACGAAAAAGAAAGAGCTTTGCTATAGTCAGACGAGTTGTTGGGCCGGGTTTGCTTTTTTTTCCTTCCTTCAAGTTGGTGGAAGATGTATTTGAACAGGTGAAAAGAAACAAGTAAATGTGTTCCTCACAGAACACAGGACTGTGTATAACTAGGGGATTAACGTGCTTAGAGAGAGAGAGGGGGAGAGAGAGAGAGAGAGAGAGAGAGAGGTTTAGAAAGAGAAGACCGTCCCGACTTACCGACAGACACGGTACCTCCCGATAACTACATAGTTAGTTAGTTAGTCCGCCACTTATATTACGTACCTGTTCCTGGTCTATGAACTAAGCCTACGTAGATCCATCCTCAACATCTATTGTAGACTATATATCCGATTTTATATATATATATATTATATTCGAAATTTTATTTATTTATAATTAGAATTAATCAGAAATACCCTTTTACATGAATGAATAAATAGAAAAATTAAGAATACAAGAAATAAAAAGAAAAGCAAAAACTCCCTTTCATAAATTGCGTCATTGGCACATTTGATCCACCGTAGCACCTTCATCACTAATTCTTTCTGTGCTCTCTCTCTCTTATACTCTTTAATCCTCTTGAAGCTTCTTTTAAAGCTCCATCTCACCTTTCAAATTCTTTTTTAAAAAAACCCCATCTGACCCAATCTTCTTTATCTTCCATTGCTCTGTGCTAACGGCACCATGTCTTCTCGCTCTGGAACTACTTTGTATGTTACCGGGTTTGGCCATGGCACCCGTGCTCGCGATCTTGCCTACGAATTCGAACGGTACGTGTCGCCTCTACCTTCGCACCTACGAACTTCGATCCCCATCCTTCCGACGACGTCCCGATGAAGACCATTTGCAATGCCTTGGACGACAATCTTCTTTCTTTCTTCCAACTAGCGTGGCATTGGGAAGCTTGTGTCTACGTTGCCCCGTCTCATTCCTCGGGCAACTGTTAGCTAGTCTTAGTCATTCGTCACCATAATTCCTCTTGCTACCAGTATCTGCAGCTAGCTCAACTGATTCTGAAACTAGTTATGGGCGTCTTGTTCGCTGTGATATCCCTGCCCCCCGCACTCCATCCAGCCGACTGTGAGTTGAATGATACATCTTACACCACTTTGTCTTTCTAATCTAAATCGCTCAGTTTCGCTTTCGTTGAATACGAGAGTCGCCGGGATGCTGATGATGCTTACCATGAAATGCACAACAAGCGTATCGGTCGTGATGATTTGCTGAAGATCGAGGTGAGTACATCCCCCTCCCAAAAAGCCCTGTTAAATCTCTTCTAACCTATCCCCAGTGGGCACGCACTCCTCCCTCTGCTTCCTGGCGCTTTGACTCTGGCTCTGGCCGTGACGCTCCCCGTGACGCTGGTCGTGATGCTGGCCGCGATCGTCGCCGTGATCGCACTCCTCCTCGCCGTGGTCGCTCCCCATCTCCTCGTCGCAGCCGCGGCGGTGACTATTCCCCTCGCCGAGACGATCGGTACGAACGGGACGCTGACCGTACTGACCGCGACTACGACCGCCGCGACCGTGATTCTGACCGCCGTGACCGTGACCACGATCGACGTGATCGCGACCGTTCTCGCGACCGTTCTCGTAGCCCCGATGACCGTGAACGTGATGGCAAGGATGAGCGGGAAAGACGCGATGATGATCGCGAGCGTCGTGAGGAGGATCGTGAGAATGGCCCTAACGGTGAGGACAGGAAAGGTCAGTTCGGGATTCAGTCTAGAAACGTTCTTTTCACTCACATATACGGCAGTACCCCTGGACCCAATGCCCTCTGCTCATGATGAGCTCGATACTGCTGAGTAGATCAACTCAGTACTACGTTCTTTCGCTCTCGACCCATGTCTTCCGTCGACATTATGTTTTCTTCTGAAGGTGTCCTTCATTGCGGTTGTGCCAACCCGGGGGATGGAGGAGACAAGGTTATCACCCCAGTGTTGCTCTCAGTACATCCTGTGGCATATCTCATATCTCTCGTCCCTCTTTGCCTCTCTGTTTCTGATTTCAAATGGCGTGAAACTTTGAGCTCTGGGACAAGCTGGGGCCAAGTGAACGTGTGACCCCTGCTTCCCCTGCTTTTTTATTTCAACCTCGCTTTTTTTCCCCCGAGTTATTCCCATTTTATTTTATTTTTTGAGGTTGGTAATTTATCCTGGTCAGCAGCTCGGATCCCACCGAAGCGAACGTCGAGCGATCGTTCCAAGTCCGCGCCCAAATACCACGATGAATTTCGTTTCGCCCTCTCGTCTTGTTCGCAATTTAATTTGAAAGCGGTTATTTCAATTCGCCCTATTCGACTGGTCGGCACACTCGGTGTTTCTCTGAATCGCTGTAGTGCCATTAGTTGTATGTGAGGTCAATGCTGTCGGGAAACCAATTTTAAAGCACCAATTCAACAGCTTTGTTAATAATAATAAAAATGTTAAAAAAAAAAAAAAACAGACAAGCCAACAGAATTTTTGCATAGTAAAAGATACATGTATTCTCGAAAGTGGTTATCATAGCCATGACGTAGGATATTTAGCGTGGGGTCTCTCATTTCCAATCCATCAAACAATCCATCACAGCAACAACTGAAGTCTCAATTATCACTATAAACTTGATTCGACCTTTACTATGGGCTCACCAAAACAAACAGGAATTAGCATTGCAATCGATGTATTAGCCTTCTTCCCCCACTGCTTATACAGAGGACTGACATGATAAAGAGAGGTGGGACATTTACGGATTGTATTGGAAATCCAGGGACGGGCCGCTTGGAAGACGACATTGTGATTAAATTGCTCTCAGAAGACCCCAATAACTACAAAGATGCACCTTTAGAGGGAATACGACGTATTCTTTCCAAATTTACAGGTCATGAAATCCCTCGTGGGGAACCCATCGATACTTCTTTGATCCAGAGCATCCGCATGGGCACAACTGTGGCAACAAATGCGCTGCTCGAACGGAAAGGGGAGAAGGTAGTGTTGGTGGTAAGCAAGGGCTTCAAAGACTGTCTTGAGATTGGAAATCAGTCTCGTCCTAAAATATTTGACCTTGCCATCAAACGTCCCGATGTCCTTTACGAGGAAGTGATCGAGGTGGATGAGCGCGTCACCCTGGAAGACTACGCAGAAGATCCGCAACGAAGCACCACTACCACTACTCCCCGGGAACAGACCCGCGCAGAAGCCGATGTTGTTCGTGGCCTTTCTTCAGAAGCAGTTCGCATACTGAAGCGTCCATCTGAGGGCTTGGTGAGATCGCAGTTGAAAGAGGCATACAACCGCGGCATTAGAAGCATAGCAGTATGCCTGATACATGGATACACTTTTCCAGACCATGAGACACTGGTTGGAAGAATCGCCAAAGAAATTGGTTTCCCCCATGTGAGTCTGAGTCATCAGCTCATGCCGATGATTAAACTTGTGCCGAGGACCACTTCAGCCTGTGCCGATGCATATTTGACCCCTGCCATCAAGAAGTATATCTCTGGCTTTCAAGCTGGATTCGAGGGTGGCCTGGGCAGTGAGAGTGTCAAACAGCAGGCGGGAGCCAAAGGCGCACGCTGTGAATTCATGCAGTCGGATGGTGGCCTTGTGGACGTGGACCAATTTTCAGGCCTACGAGCAATTTTGTCAGGGCCTGCTGGCGGAGTGGTGGGCTATGCATTGACTTCCTACGATCCTGTGTCGAAGACACCTGTGATAGGTTTTGATATGGGAGGGACAAGCACGGATGTTAGCAGGTACGGATCCGGTCGGTACGAACATGTCTTTGAGACAACCACCGCTGGAGTGACAATTCAATCTCCTCAGTTAGACATCAACACTGTTGCTGCAGGTGGCGGCTCAAGATTGTTTTATCGAAACGATCTCTTCGTCGTTGGGCCCGAGTCAGCAGGAGCTCATCCAGGGCCCGCGTGCTATCGCAAGAATGGACCACTCACAGTAACTGACGCCAATCTGTTCCTTGGGCGATTGGTCCCTGACTTCTTCCCGAAGATTTTTGGCTCAGATGAAACCCAAGGACTGGATGAACAAGCCAGCCGGGTGTTGTTTGAGGAACTAACCAAAGAAATCAACCGCAAGTTGACCAAAGGGGGCCAAAGCCGAGAAATGTCCCCCGATGAGGTTGCCTTTGGTTTTATCAAGGTAGCCAATGAGACGATGACTCGGCCCATTCGATCTCTAACGGAGGCCAAGGGACATGACACCTCAAAACACAGGTTGGCTACGTTTGGAGGAGCCGGGGGCCAACATGCCGTTGCCATTGCTGAGAGCCTGGGGATTCGGCAGATTTTGATCCATCGGTATTCCTCGGTGCTTTCGGCATACGGAATGGCACTGGCAGACGTTGTTGATGAAAACCAAGAGCCCGAATCAAAGACCTGGGCTGATGATGGCAGAGAGGTCCAAGATGCACTTGCTTCAAGAATAGAAGACTTAAAGAAACGATCCACACAGAGGTTGCAAGATCAAGGCTTCGACAATGATTCCATCGTGTTTGAAGAATACCTCAATATGCGATATCGAGGCACAGAATCTGCCTTGATGATACTCAAACCCAGCAAAGAGGAGGCCGATCTTCACTTTGGGGGGGACGAATGGGCCTTTGGGAAGGCATTCATGAAGCAACACGATCAAGAATTTGGTTTTACTCTCCCAGAGCGGGACATCATCGTGGATGATGTGCGGGTGAGAGGAATCGGGAAAGGATTCAAAATATCCGAGAAGACTGTAGACAAGCAGATCCAAGAATCTAACCCAAAGGATGTGACGGTAGGCCAAGAATATCGCAGATCTCTTGTGTACTTCGAGGGTGGCCGACTTGAAACCCCGATCTACAAACTCGGCGAATTAAAGCTTAACGACCGAGTGAGGGGCCCGGCGATTTTAGCCGATGACACCCAAACAATTGTGGTGACCCCAGGAGCTTCGGCGCTCTTGACAAAAACCCACGTCGTCATCAATATTGGTGAATCCGATACCAGCCAGCCAGATATCAGCACAGACAATGTGGATCCTATCCTGCTGAGCGTCTTCTCGCACAGATTTATGGCTATTGCCGAGCAAATGGGACGTGCTTTACAGAAAACAAGTGTAAGCACCAATGTAAAGGAGCGGCTTGACTACTCCTGCGCATTGTTTGACGCAGAAGGTGGTCTTGTTGCGAACGCGCCACATTTGCCCGTTCATCTCGGTAGCATGTCAACCTGCGTGCGGATACAGGCCCAGATTTGGCAAGATAAACTGAAGCCTGGCGATGTAATCGTGTCAAATCACCCGGAATTTGGGGGAACTCATCTCCCAGATATCACAGTCCTGCAGCCTGCTTTCAGCCGGGGGAAGATCATATTCTACGTCGCTTCTAGGGCGCACCATGGTAAGACGTTTTCCCGAGCGAAAGAGAGGGGGGGGGGGGGGGAAATGTAATATACATTCTAACCTGCATGAAGCTGATATCGGAGGAATACTCCCGGGATCTATGCCACCTCATTCAAAAGAGCTTTATCAAGAAGGCGCGGCCATCAAGAGCGAAAAATTGGTATCAGAAGGTAAGTTTGACGAGGATCGCATCATAGAGTTGCTGTACAGAGAGCCGGCCCAGTATCCAAACTGCAGTGGAACTCGTTGCCTGGCAGATAACTTGAATGATCTTAAGGCTCAAATCGCGGCGAATAAGAAAGGGATCAACTTGATCAGCACTCTAATTGAGGAGTATGGTGAGGCTGTCGTGCAGTTCTATATGCACCAGATCCAAGACAATGCAGAGCTTAGCGTACGCAATCTACTGAAACATGTGAGCAAGAGGTTTGCTGGCCGAGATCTGAGTGCGATTGATTACATGGATGATGGGAGTCCTATTCAATTGAAGATATCAATAGATGGAGACAAAGGAGAGGCAATCTTCGATTTCGAGGGGACAGGCCCAGAAGTATATGGTATGGGTAGCGTTTTTAAAGGGGGATAACCCTGATTTTTATTGAGCTGACAATAACAGGCAATATCAATGCACCGGAGGCGGTCACATACTCAGCGATCATATATTGCCTGCGATGCCTTATTTCGGCAGATATCCCGTTGAATCAGGGCTGTCTAAAGCCAATCAACGTCCGAATTCCTTCTGGGAGTCTTCTATCCCCTTCGGAATCGGCTGCTGTGGTGGGTGGCAATGTTTTGACGGTAGGACCAAGACAGAATACTTACATTGATTATGGGCTCATCGTCTCTTCAGAGTCAACGAGTGACCGACGTCATTTTGAGGTGCTTCCAGGCTTGCGCTGCGTCACAAGGTGATACCAACAATCTCACATTTGGGTTCGGAGGGAATATACCTGGTGAGACTGAAACAAAAGGGTTTGGTTACTATGAAACCATCGCCGGTGGTAGCGGAGCTGGTCCGACTTGGGAAGGCACGTCGGGGGTTCATACACACATGACTAACACCCGAATCACCGACGCAGAGGTGTTTGAGCGGCGGTACCCTGTGATCCTCCGAGAATTCAGTCTTCGACCGAATTCAGGAGGCAATGGTCAGCACCGCGGAGGGGATGGCGTTGTGCGAGACATTGAATTCCGTATTCCCGTGCAAGTCTCTATCCTTTCCGAACGAAGAGTCTACCATCCATATGGATTGGAGGGAGGCGAGGACGCGCAGTGTGGTCAGAACATCTGGGTGCGTCGCGTGAAAAACCAAGACGGAACCTCGGAGAAAAGATACATCAACCTGGGCGCGAAGAATTCCGCTCAAATGCAAGTAGGGGACAGGATCATTATCTGTACACCCGGAGGAGGAGGATGGGGTCAAATCGGAGACCAGAGCCAGGTTCTCCAGGAGAAAGATCATCGTCATGCTTGGCGAGGAGGTTCTATTGCCAACAACATGGCAACGCAGGAGGCAAGTATGTGATTTATAGGGAAATTGGGGAGTCAGTCCAAACCACCATGGTTTGGTTCAAATGGGTCAAACTCAATTTGATTATGATGAAATTGTAAGGACTAGTTATAGGCAACATAAATCAACTCTCAATGGCGATTATGCTTCACTCTCCTCGTCACTTGTCGCCTCGATATTCTGCTTTGATGGACTTTGGTTGTCCGAGTGGCCCTGTCCTTGCTCTCCTTGATCAGACTGGCTGCCCTCTGCCGAGTAGACAGGCCGAGGCAGAGTTTCCCCGTTTTCTTTCAATGCCTGCTCAATCCCAGGTAGGATGGAGATGATGACAGCGAATTGATCCACAGGCATTGAGATACCCTGAATTGGGAATAAATATTAGCACAGTTTGGGCAAAAAATTACTGATCAACTGACCTTTTTTCCTGGCAACTGCTGCCCATCCTTTTCATAGTATTCTCTGACATTAACCTGGGTTTTGCCGCGGAATGAAGATATGGTCACGCGACGCATATTTGATATTTCCCAGTAGCGATCTCCATTAGAGTCGGTTTTGGCTTCCACTGTATTATTGTTGACCTTGGCCTTTTTGGGGCGCACACTATTGTCAGTGCCAGCGCCTGACTCAGATGAACGTTTCCTGGATGACATGGCTGATGAGTGATCTCAGGTATCTGGTTGTGAGAAGGCAAGAAAGTGGGAAATTGCATAGGTCTCCAAACACGAGCGCGAAACCCCGGCACGTCATCACGTGAAAGTTGATATGTGTATACGGAGTATATATATATATATATATATATATGTGCGTGTGTCCTATCATTGGTAGTTCCTACTTACGGCCGTTCCTTGTGATTTTTCACTTAGTTATTCATAGTACGGTCCAAATAAAATTGATCTACTGAACACTAAAGAGTCAATACCCTAAGGCCCTGTAGTAGAATCGAGAAGACAAATCCCCGAGCGACACTTTCAACCTGAAGACTGTCAAAGATCTTCTCTAGCGCTTCTCGACTAGCAGCCGCGCCCATGACACTTGTTAAGGCCTGTGGGATTCCTCGCTGCACAAATAGTTTACGCGCAGTATCCCGTAGCCGGATTTTCTCCTCCTCACTAGGTGGAGGGGGCCAGGATTTAAGTTCCTCCTCTGTCGGAAGTGCGTTCTCACGAAGCTTGACCAGGTAATCCCCCAGGGCGTTATCTGAGGTATGGCCTTCTATCATGGATTCTTGCAACAGAGTACGAATCGTTTCCAATGTCGGACTTCCGGGACGTAGGATGTACGATTTGGCAGCATTCAAAAGGGTCCGGCGTATGTTCCATGCAGATGACAAGGTGTACAACTCATTGATGACCGCAAAGATCAGCTCTACTGCTATTTGGGTCTCATCAGCTGTGATAGGATTCCCCTGTTTGCAGGCTTGATCAATACTCTGCCCATTCTCTGATCGGTGATGCGACGAGGTTCGATCAATAGTTTCCGTTGCCTGTATGTCAAGTTCTGCAGTATGATCGCTGAGATCAAGAGAGATTTCAGAGGGCGAGGTCTCTGTAGTCCATGCACCTTGCTCATTCCCAAACGAGTCCCTGGTACCATCGATTGAAGATGACCTGGAAATTTCGCGTCTTTGGATTTCAAGGGAGCCGGTAGGGTATGTCACAGGCGAATTAAAATTTTCGTTGATTACGCTGGTACGATCACCAAAGCTGGGTCGTGCCTGTGACAAACTGGGGCGACATGAGTTATCAACCTTGGGCTGAATCTGATCAGCAATAATAGCCGGTTTCTTGCCATTGGCGGCACCTCCAAATACCCCCGTCATTCCTTCAAAGACAGCTTTACTGCCCCCTGCCACTCCCTTAGGCGCATTGGTCAATGCATCCAGCATACCCTTGCCCATATTTTCAAACGTAGTTTGACTAGGGAAAGGGAATACCAGTTTGTTAGGACCAGTGGGTTCAGTAGAAGAATCAACGTCTTTTTCCAAAAATCGGCGCATTCGATCAGTGTCGGCAAGTGACTCGTGCTTCATAGCATCTTGTAGATACCACTCAAGGTCCCGAGCGAGAGCTTGTCGTGTTTTGCCCTTCCAGGTAGGCAGTGTGGGATGACGCTCCGAGAAACTTGAAATCTGATTCAATCGCGAAACAGTCCCTAACATCTCGTGAAGGGACTGGAAGTCCGAATATTTGCGAAACACCATCCACCCAGTCGAACGTGTTGACGCTGGCTCGACCTGTAGGAGATAATCCCACATGGGTCGCGACTTGATCTGGCCTTTTTCATCTCTCGCCCCGTCATCATCTACCAACACTTGTGCCCCATGAAGAATTAAAGGGAGCACAGAAGAGTCTTCGGATAATTTCGGGCTCACAGGTAATTGCATACTGGGCATTAGTCCCTGATCTTCGTGGTCTTCGTTTTCATGAGTCGCATTTGAAGTCAAACCAGTCTCCGAACGGTGAATTTCATCAATTTGTTCATTTTGGCGTGGCAATTTTGACACCGAGCTCTGCGTATCATGAGATGCAATCATAGCGCTCAGACGTTTCACCTCTAGGGCTGTTTCTTCCTCTGTAGCTCTTGCCACATGCACGGACTCTCTCTGTGTAGCTTTGATGGAGTCTACGTTTGGGCCTTCTGCAGACGTGGGAGCACTGACGCCCTGGTTCCGTGCACCTTCAACGCCTGCGTCGATAGCGTGCATGATTTCGGATTCACCGTCCTGAAGGAGATGGATAATCCATTCATTGATAAATTCAGGACGGGAAAGACTGGTCACAATAGACCCCAATATCACACCCGCAAAGACCTCCCGGAGGAAGTCCCGTACAGCTCGACAATTGTAGGCCTTGACATCTAAGAAATTCGACAATATATCATCAGCAACCATGCTGAGTTTCTTCTTTTGTTGTTTTTCAGAGAGAACATTCGCTAAGCTGCTATCCGGAAATTGTTCAAGATATTGGTCCACAGTTTTTTGGGCTTCTACCGAGGAGCCCGCAGCAGTGAATGCTGCTGCAAGTTCATTCAAGAATACAATGACGATAGATGACGAGTTGGTGAGAAACTGCAAGAACGTGTCCTCTGTTCGTTTCCGCGAGAGGTGCGAAGAGACCGATGTAATGAAATGTGTTAAAATTCGTCGACAGGAGCCCGGAAAACTCGATTCGGACGGTAAAAGCGGCTCGTACCAGTATCTTTATCTGAAGATAAGCTACTTGTCTCACGGTGGAAGAAGGGCATAGATGAAGGAAATAATACTTACTTGACATAGTCTTTAATGACCGCATCGGTGAGCGTTCTCAACGCGACAGCGGTGGCTGGTTGAAATGTGGCATATTCCAGTTCTGCCGAGGACATATCTTCAGGCATACATATAGAACCATCGCCTTCCCTCTGGGTGCCTGAAGCATTAGCCCGTTTCGGCCAGTCCAAAAGCCTGTTAGAGACTTCCAGCGCAAGTTCTCTTCGCCTGTTAGGCTTTTGTGCATGCAACGCTCCATCTGCATGTTCGTTATTCGATCCCTCCCAGGACGCGTGCAGGACAACCCCCACAACCACCCCAATTAGAAGTAGACCTATTCTCCCCAGAACAATGTAGGTGACGAGGGCAAGAAGCGCAAAGACTGCAAGGAGGGTCTCATTGGTAGAGGTCGAGAGAAATTTGAGGGCGGCATTAATAAGTTCCTTTGAAGTCATTTGATTGAAGATGGGGTCTTGCATCGGGTGAGTGTTGTGGTCTTTGCCGGATGGAGAAGCTGAAATGACCTGGGAGTCCGCGTCATCATTGTGGCGACTCATTGTACTAAGATATCCCAGATTCGGAGAATGTCCAGAGTACTGGTAGTCAACCCTCCATTTCGTGTCCAAGATTCAATGTGACCTTTGTAGACCTGTGTAGACCTGTGTAGACAATTTGACATGGGAACAACATAAGGACAAGAAGATAAGGGATAGGAACCTTAGAGAAAATGCTTGGCGTACACCGTTGGCCAGTGCGTACCTCGTACCTACTCGGTATGCAGTGACTACGCAAAAGTGTTAACAACACCGGCCCCATACCCCCTTGATTATATAATTTACTGCCGGTCAAAACCTCCATGAATTCATACTATGGAATCTAGTATGCAGTATACCACCCCTGGCTCTCGATAATCGCTTCCACCAGGTGCGGTATAGTGAAAATGATATATGAAGCATATAAAGAAGAAAGAAAGTGAGATTGGGGGGGGAGGGGGGAACGCGAGATATCGCGAGATATACGCGCTATAGCTGAGGTATATTAGCGCGTATTGGATGGCGGTGTAGGTTAAATAGTAAGGTGGTATAGAGGTGGGGCCGGGGTGTTGTTAAGACTTTTGCTGAGAGACTGTACAAAGTAACATGAAAATGTACAAAATAGATACTCCGTAATCATGCCAAGCGCCCAACACACCTTCACTGTATTGGTGCGCCCCAGTTAACAATGATTTTCGGTCAACGATAAATGTTCAAAATTAGGTATCTTTTGTGTAGGCATACCATACAAAAGGTACAAAGAGTTCAAAAATCAAAAATTCTATTTTTCTCTGTAATATAGGTAGGGAAATTATAGATTTAGATAGTATATATATCTAGAAGGATTTTAGCTGATTTAGTACTAATGTTAACCAGAAATATTGAGTAGAATAAAGTAAATATACAAATTCTACGGAGTATATACAATCTTTATATATAGGAGTTTTTTTAATGTGCTTCTCACACTTCTATATGATTTTGAATTAATCTTAAGTGTTAGAACAGTCTAATTATAGTTATATTATATACCATTTACCACTCTTTTTTATTTTTTCAACTAGTTCAAGGGTTAAGTAAAATGCAAGTTGTGACTTTGAAAACCTTTGTACCTTTTGTATGATACCCGCATACAAAAAGATACCTAATTTTGAACATTTATCGTTGACCGAAAATTATTGTTAACTGGGGCGCACCAATACAGTGAAGGTATGTTGGGCGCTTGGCACAATTACGGGGTAGATAGATGTACGGAGTACAACACAGGGAATACTATTCAAATCATAGCTAAATAATATGTATTACATGGGTATATATTTTAATGTATCCAATCATGATTTCCTTACAAGCATTGAGCTATATAGCAAGGAATCTAAAGCTAACAGAAAGGATTTGATCTCCGCTATCAGAGTGAATCTAAGCATTCAAAGAGCATGCGCTTCATGCCAGATGTAAAGGATGCGGGTGGAAGAAAAGGGAAGTGCTCTACAGGGGATATTCAAAGTCAGGACATTACTTGGTATGTAACTTGTCCTCTTATGGTGCACCGGGGCATTGTGTATGAGGTCAATGCTCACTCCCGTAAAATCCAAGACATAAATTTCAACCTCATTAAGAAGAAATTCAAGAAATGGACTCTACAAGAGAGTGTACTGACATAGTGAGGAGGAAGAAGGAAAAGAAGCAGAGCTTCGGAAAGGTTTTGTGAGGAGATTTCGGATTACCTAATGCTTAGCCGACAACCCTGGAAACTAATCCAACCTTGGAATTTAGGCTAACTACCTAATTAGTTACAGTCATATTCATGAGTATTTGCACCCGGGTACCTCGGAAGGCCCAGGACCCGCTTTTTTTTCTGCCGATTCAAAACTTCATATTCAAAACCCCCTAGTAACTAGTATGCCACCCTTTATATTTGATAACCTCCTCCACTCGGTGAGGCATAGTCTCTGCTAAATTTACAAAGTGGTGAATTGTAAGGTTCTCCTATATATACTGTGCTGTATCCACCAGCTCAGCCTAGGTCTCATTATTATTCGGTATCTCGCGTAACCAAGGCCTTAGTTTCAAGATATCAGCCTTTTAAAACGCCCAGAGGTTCTCAATTAGGTATAGATCAGGTGAATATAGAGGCCAGTCTATAATATTGATATTTATCTCACGTAGTAGTTCTTGAACAATATACGCAGTATAAGTAGGTATACTACGCGTAGCGCGCGCTGCGTGAGGTTATACTAGTAGAAATAGGCAGGCGGTGTGAAGGAGCGGTCAAAAATCGAGGTACCTGGGTGCAAATACTCATGAAATGCCACTGTACTCCGTATGTAGTTAGTTAACATGGATGGATACCCACGGGTTTTGATCCCTGCACCCCAAAAATCTGCATTTGCACCCCATTATATAATCAGCTAAATTACATAATATAATTGTGGGAATAAAGAGGAGCAAAATCACATGATTAGCAACCTCATCTGTCAGATCGACTATGCAAAAAGCCTCAATTCTTCCCTATTAGGCAGCTTTTAAACCCATAATTGCTCTCCCCACAGCCCGAGCACCTACTAGGCGCCTTCTGCTTCTTCTTAGGGCGCCCCTGCTGCCTAAATAGGCAATTTGCATCCCGTTTTAGCTGCGGTATCCTCGGAGGGAGGATTGGGACCAATCGAGCGCTTAGAATTGCTCTGATATACCAAAAGATATCAATATCACGGAGTCCAATTGGCTTATTTAATCTGATAAGATCAGATAAATAGTATTTGTATAGAAGCCCTATAGAGCGAGTAAAATACCCGGAACACTACCCAATTGGGCTAGTTCATAGGGCTAATTCGCGTTAGTGATAGATTAATCTGATATTATGATCAGATACATAAGCCCTCACCAAATCATATAGCTGAGATATGGCTATCTTCGGTATTAGGATCTTAAAATACGTAGCAAACAATGGTTGCTATAGGAGATTGATGGATAGATTGATAGTCATGTGACATTTACCCTGTTTGTTCCGATGATAATTAATTATATCATCATGTGATTATATAACTAACTAATTGGGGTGCAAATAACGTATTTCCCGGGCGAGCTGCGCACCCTACCTAAAACGTGTCAATTAATTTAACACTTTCTTCTTCAACCACCCACTATACCACCAATTCGCTCCCGATCCTCTAGAAATTCAACCGAGCAAGAGGGTAGTGTAACGGATAAAGATCCTTACAACCTGGAGACTGACAATACGGGAGTCAGCTGATATAGGATCAATATATAATCAGCCAAGTATCGTGACCTGATCGTGAGGGGTTCGTCATATAACGGCCACGTCAGTCGATCAGATGGTTTACCCTATAGTCTGGGATCCCCCTGGATCCCACTTACTCCTGTAAGAATTAGTGAGACAGTTCTACACAATACATTATATTCGTCTCCTCTTACAGAGTCCTTGTATCTTACCCGGTTAACAGGCCCTACACCTAAGACCAGTATACTATTACAATTCTAATTCTTCTTCTTCAACTGCTTGAGATACAATAGCTCCTCGTACTAGAATATCAGTTCCTGATAAGCTAAGGGAAAACCCTCGAGCCAGTAACGATCCGGAATTAACTCTATCAGCAGAAGGGGAGGAACCCCTATCGGTTTCCTAAAACCTCGAAACCCCGGATCTACAGGCCGAACCAATAGGCTAAACCCCTAAGTAAATCACAATAACTGTAGCTTAACTATAGGAAACGATCCTTTAACTGGAGAAATAAGCTGAGCTGCAAAATCGACTTATTGTAGTATAAAAGCTCCTTGCAGAGAATAGGAAGGAGCTAAATCGCTACCGAAACGGTCGCGAACCCTTAATAGAAAGCGAATAAAGCCAGAAGGGGGAGATTAAGCGAGATATCGAAAAATTCGAAGAGAGTTTCGGTATCCGACAGAGAGAGGAATAGCTAACTAACCTTAATACGCTTTTTAAAGGCGGCCTAAGAAATATATCTCGGATTCCCAGAAGGTCCTTACCGCTGAAAACTACCTCTGTAGTTCCTATAAAAATAAGTGGTAAAATCATTTATTAAACCACCCTAAAGACAAAAAGGACTAGGAAGCTTTTAAAGAATAGATAAAAACCCTACTTTATAACTCCTATAATATCGTTACCGATATCCTTGTCCTCTACTAAAAGGCCGAGATACGTCCGAACTAGGACCTACGCGCTTTCGCCCACTATCTCGTATCACTAGAGAAACACCTCCTAGCCTAAACCGAAGAGCAGAGGGCTTAAGCCCTATTTATAAAATATACAAAACCGCTTCGAGACTAAATTATTACTATAACTAACGGAGTGTTACCTAAGATAAGAGCGCTTATAGAATCAAAAGTATCGATACTCTAGAATATACACTTCTCGGGCTAAAAAATGAAAGAATATCCTATACCTACCCCGGATAGGCGGAAGAAGGGAAACTACACCGACTCGACAACAAATTAATCCCAATCTAATACCTTATTATCAGTAAACTCTAAGCCCCGTAGGGGACGTAGGGGCTTTAGAGGTATAAATCCGAGAGGAAGAGGCTAATCTAGAGGCCGGGGTAGAGGTCGAGGAGGATTAAAATCCTACGCCTCCGGTATAAACACTACCCCTACCGAGAGGGGAAATAGCCCCGATTCGGTATAGACTAGTGCTTATTACCTCTGTAGAGATAAGGGTCACTGGGTAAACGAATACCCCTAAAAAGTAACAGTACAATCACTCGTCTAAGCCTTACGCTCTAATACCCTAAGATAGTCGGGAAAAGTGGAAGAGCTAGGGTAGACCCCGACGCACTAGCTCTATACCCACTAATCGGGACCGCAATACGCCTATATACGCTAATTACTCTCGATAACGGTGTCGAAACCTATATAGACCTAGATACTGGTACCGAATACAATATAGTTAGTAAGGAATTCGCTCGTAAGAATCGATTACTCGCCGCTCTATTTTTGTCCCTATCTCTAAAGGGTATCGCTCCTAAAAGACTCTGTACCTACGGAGTATT